GATAGGAAACAAGTGAAGTTGCAAGCATTGGCCGGTGTAATATCTGTATTTGGATTTCTGCATACCAATAGAGTTACCTAACTTCAGGTTTGAAAATCCAGCCCTTGCTGTTTACAACTTTTTTTTTAAAGAAAGCCGTCCTGGCAGTGAATTGCAGAAATAAAGTCATAAAACTCTTTGGTGAAATAAGGAAGCTTATTTTCTTCTTAATGGGGAGATTCATCAATAACTGAGTCTGTCAGTGACTTGTTTTTTCCAAACAATTTTAAACAGAAACATGTTCTTCAACAGAGGCTGCGTGTTGAAGATAGAGGGTGTCTTCAAAATGACCGTCCCCCCCGGCACTGGTGGCACTGTGCCTTGCCCAAATGAGCATGGCCATGAGGGTCGCTGTCAGCAACTAGAATTAAATGTTAGGAAAGCCACTGGTGCATTTTGACACAACTGAGTCAGAAGATAAATTAAAGGGAGAAGGGGCAACGTAGTGTGTGTACTTTACTGGTCCAGACCGCTCTCCTGTGGTATTGATAAGAAACCCAAACCATGGGATCTGCTGGGGGAGGTTTTATCTGTTGAAGTGGCTGGCTGGCATAGCACGTTATATGTGAACATCTAAATGTCTTTTTTAGGTCCTTGTAATCTCACAGCATTATAAATAATTTTTTAATAACAAATAGACATTTTGGAAGCAAAATAGTCTCCTTTCAGGTAAACTCCCTTATCTCTTGCTGCGTGCTTTCTTTAAAAGACTTTCCAATCTAAACACTAGGGCTTAAAATGTCTGTGCTGAAACACAAGTCTCATTCTCATGCTCCACAAATGTATTTTTTTTAAACTGGAGAATGGATACAATCAAGAGCTCAAAAACTTAAAAATATATTTTGTGATGCATAAGCCTAGCAAAATATTTTAAACCATTGATACTGGAAGGAGGTTGTGCAGAAATCCAATTAAACTTGTGAAATCCCTATCCTGTTGAAGTATAATTTAAAGGAAAGCAGTTCTGTTTCCCAGAAGTGCTGTGTATAATATTTCTGGCTTGGGAAGAAAGGGTTGGAGTGTGCTATTTGGCTGGAAATCGGTACCAGCTTCCTCCATGGTGTTTTAGTTGAACAGTGTTGACATTCTAACAAATCCCGTGGAAGCTCCCCTGAAGTGGAGGAGTTAGCTGTTTTCTTGCTTTTACAGTGAAATATCTGTTTGATACCATGATCGTGTTCCAATAACTGAGCTGTACTGCTCTTGTGTTTGATGACCAGTGGCATTCTTGGTTTAACACCCTATAGAAACCCTAAATTGCTGGAGGAAAACCAAATACTTCTGAAACTTTACAGCTACTGTATTTCGTACAATCATTAAAGTAAACAAATCTTACATTACTATGTAGCCAATGAAAACAGTGGATAAAGAGTTCTGTGTCCCTTGTTTTGTATACCTGATTTTTTAAAAGTAAGTCTTCAACCCAGATTTCTCCAATCTTTAAAGTCAGCCCAGCAAAGAAGTAGGATCACTTCAAAAAATATGAGACTCTTTTCCCCTTGCTTGCAGGAACTTAAAACCAAATTCTTATTACTGCTAAATGACAAAAGGCATGTGTATAGGTTGAGAGAGAGAAAACACTACCAGCTAGTTGTTCTTCTGCTTGCTCTAAAGGAGTGAAAATTAATCTCCACCTACTTTTTTTTACCCCCCTTCCTCCTTGCCCAAAAGGAAAACATTTGAAATTGATTCAGTTCTTAAATAAAACTTTCCAACGGAAACTAGCATTACAAACATAGATATTCAGTATTTTACCCCTAGGATTTATTCAAAATAATCTGGGCCTCTACACTGGCACTAAAAATATTTTTTCCAGTTCTCACTGTTGGCCAAAGCAGGGGTTAAAAGCACTGTTATGGCTTTAATTTCCAGTACATAAAAGTAACACTATTAAAACAATCTGAGTAAGGCACCAGCTTGTTGCCTGTGCTCATCCCCTGAGCAGCGCTTGGTTTAGCTCAGGTCTGCAGCAGTCTGCCAGCAAGGAGGAGGTGCTGTTCTTCATGGCGCTGCCTGAGCTTTTCCCTGGAACAGCGCTGTTGTCCACGATGATGATTCGTGGCTGTGGCAGGCAGTGGTGTGACCATGACAGTGTGGTGAGCTTCTAAACAGCGTCTCTACAAAGTTGAGTGCCCTGGAGTTTGGTGGGGGTCCTGGCTGTGGGACTCAGCATGGCCTGCGAGGCTGTGGCACCCAGCAGGGCACAGGGATCGCTGCTGCCCAGACTGCCGGCACGCCAGCACTTCCTCTGCCAGGGGCCTTCACAACACCTGCTGACACTGCTCGCGTGTTAGGAGAAGTTTTAACAGGGGACACCTTTTTTTGTTGCTGTTCAGACTCTGACAGGGTCAGGTGTCACCTCCACAGGACAACTTTGAGGCTGCTTTTACAGTGCAGCACAGTCCAGCACTCGGTGAAAGTTGCATGTATTTCGTACCTCCTCAGTAAAAACTTGGAAACAGATCTTAATCTCCAGGTCCCCATTCCATTCCGGTCTCGATATTCCTAGGCTTTTGTTAATTAGTGCTGTTTTCCTGCACTCTTTACATTCTCAGTCATTCCTTGTATAATTCTGCAAAACACAGGAAGAGGCATTTGGAGTAGATGGAGGGCTGACTGTGTATGCTCTCCCTGGACAGTGAGGGTGTCAGGCTCACAGCATTGTGAGTTCAGCGTCAAGTATAATGTGGCAGCTTTGAGTGAAAACTTCTAAAGAAGAATTTAAAGGAAACAGGGAGAAAAGAAGAAAGAAAGGAGGAAAACAAATAAATACACTGTCTCTAAATTAAGACATTTCAAATTCAGCAGTAATACTTCTGTGTAACCCCTGTGTATGCACATGTGCTTTAACACAAAGTATTCAAAGATCATCTCCCTGGTGCTGTGCCTTTGGATCAGCAGCACAGGCTTTTACTGCCTCCATTGTTTACCCAATTAAAATACATCGAGGATCATCTATATAGTGCAAAAGATCCCTCACTGAATAGGGACCTTTCCTGTCATTCTACTGTGAAGACCAAATGTGTTCTCAAACGGATTAATTGGTTGTAGAAAAGCTTTACACACCGAGTTTGAATGAAATTTGTATTTTAGCTTACAGTATGTGTTGTTGCACAGAGCAAAAAAGAACCCTCTGTGATAGATCATTCACGTCTTCAATGAGCATCAGAATTTACTCAGAGTAAATTCAGAATTTACTCTGTGACAGAAATCTGTGGTGATTTCTGTTCTGATTTGTGATCCACCAAATAATTACAAATTCTGTGAGAGGTGATGCCGGCCTCTTGTCTTTCCTAAGGAGTGTTATGTTTCCACCATGACTTCAATAAATCCCAGTTGCTGTTGATGCAAAGAGATTGTTGGTTGGGTGGGTGGTTAGTTTTTCTTGAAAAGGTTTAGTTCTGGTTGTGACAACACCTGCCTGTACAAAGTCACATCCCCATTATGAGCAAAGGGCTGGTTCTGCACTCAGTAGTAGATGAAAACTTTCTAGCTGATCAGACAAAGCAGTAGAAACTCCCAGACAAAAGCAGTTTCTTAATTTCATCTGCATGATAAAGAAGTGCCTTTGAAGTAATGTTTTGGAGCTTCTCAGATGGTATTACCTGCATAACTGATGCAGAATAAGCACTCTGAGTGCAGGATACTGGCCCCTCTCTTTCTTCCATGGTTGTGTGTGGTAGTGAAACAGGGAAAAGTAGGAGGCACTTCACTCTGCAGTAGGATTGCGCTGTCAGTGTAAAGGTTTGGGACCAGTGGAGATGTAGAAGATCTGTAAGATGGATTAGAAAGAACTGTTTGAAAAGCTCAGCTTTGGTCAGTTTCTGTTCCAAATGAAGCTACTGCCAAGTGCTTTGATATGCTCAGTTTTCTTTATCTTCTTGACAAATGGGTCAAATTAATACAAAATAATACAGGTAGCAATTCACTCTCCCAACTGCAAGTTGTTTTTGTCAAACAACATCAAACATTAACCTCTTTATTTATATAAAGCTTGCTTGTCTGGTGACATCATGCCCACACAAGCTCCTAGGCAGGTGTACGTACTCGTGTAAAATTCTGGTTTCACACAGAAGTCATCATGGCTTTGTGACTTCATATTTCTCTCATTTCAGTAAACACCTGTAAATTGTAGGCATGCTTAAAATACTGTGTTTCTATTCTAAAATGGATGAACATGAACATTTCAGGTGCCTGGGCTGGTTGCTGCTGTAACACAGCAAGTTTTGAGATGCCATGTTCTTCCTGCATCAGTGTAGACTGCTGAAGACAGCAAGAACTTGCCATCTTAAAATATGGCTATTTAAGCACCTGATTAAAGACATTTCATTCTGAAAATGGGTGCTTTGAACTTGGAGGTGCTTTCTCCTATTTATTGCTAGCCCCAGGCAGGATACCACAAGTTTTTATTGCTTGTGGCATTTTAGGAAACACTATGCCCGTTGTGTTTGTAGCACACTGTGCCCCTTTCTTCACACATCAGAAGCTCTTGAACAGATCTGCACACTGCAAAGAATCCTTATAGAAGTCTTCTTTCCCATTTCAGACCTCTTAAAAAAGCACTGTGTAACTTGCCCATTTTTGAAAGGTGCAAGTTAAGTTACAAATCAGGCTTGATTGTCACATGAGACTGATTTTTTTTTCCCCTACTCCCTCTCATACTGTGGTGAGTGTAAAGGAGCAGGTTTTGGTCTCATGCAGGCTTTTTAACTCTACATTTCTGTACCATAGCTCTCTTCAATTTGCATGTTTGGAAGTTTTGTACATTTTAATGAGGTATTAAATCCCATTTTCAAGAGCTGAAAAAACAAAAGGGCTGTTAGTTTGGGGCCTGATGAATAATTAGGATATGCCAGCTCCTTGTTTGTAATGGAAGAGCAGTGCCATTCGGTGCGGACTCGTGTTGGTTTTCTGCTGAGGAGTGGCAGCTGACAGCTCCATTTCTGCGTGCTCTGTTCCAGGTGAGAAGCCCTACAAGTGCACGTGGGAAGGCTGCGACTGGAGGTTCGCGCGCTCCGATGAACTGACGCGCCACTACAGGAAGCACACGGGGGCAAAGCCCTTCCAGTGCGCCGTCTGCAACCGCAGCTTCTCCCGCTCCGATCACCTGGCGCTCCACATGAAGAGGCATCAGAACTAGGAGCTGGACTGGTCGTTGAGGCTGTTCTGTATCTATGCAATTTCCTATTGACTCTCGACATACAACTGAAATTAGTTGAATTTTTGAGTGTATCCACTTAAAAGAGATCTGAAAAGGAACTGGAAATGTATATTTTGTATATTTATGCAGAAAAAGGGAAGACACTGTATCACAATTACCAGAGTGTTCAGTCGTTTGTTTGCTTTCATGATGTATATGGCTTTAGTCAGCAGGTTTCATCTCTTTACAAGTATTATATCTCAACACGTTGCAGCTTTATACTTTTTTTTTCCTCTTGCAGTGTTTTGACCAAAGCACTGTCATTATTGTGACAATGTTTAGTAAACAAATTAACGAGAGGATGCAGATGAATGCACACAGTGGAAAAGCCATGAACTGTAATCTGTCAGGTTTTTACTGGACATACTTAAGTACATGTGGGGTTTTTTTTTTTAATGTTAAGCCGTTCTGTGGATATAAAATACATAGAAAAATTCATAAACAGCCATAGAACAAAGCATTTTTGTTCTGTGTGTTGCATGTTTGCTATGACAAAGATTTTGTAAATATGCAAATCAGCTTTTTAGGTTTAATACAAAAGTTTTCTAAGAAACATCTGAAAAAAGCAGTTGTTTTACATTTGATAACATGGCACATTTATAAAAAAAGTTACTTAAATACCTCTCAAAATAGTACCAGTTTAGTCAGATGTTTTGTACCTGTTAATCAATGGTGTGCACTGAATATTCAAAGCAGGAGTTTGTTTTCAAATTGCATAAAAGGGCAAAACACGGAGAATGAACTGTAAAGTCAATGTTGGAAGCTGAAATAGCGGGGATAGTTAAAATGAACACAGAATGTTAAACCTCTTACCATAAGCTAAACTTAGTATCACTTTAAAAAGAAGGATTTAGGATACAGTTTTCATACACAGACATACTAAGCTGGTTCAGCACCAGTATGATCTAGTTTCATGTGGCTACTGGATGTAATTTACTAGAAAGTAAAGGATACAGTAATTTTTTTAAAATTACAGTGCAGTTTAGTTAATCCACTGTTCAGATTGACACATGCAGGGAAAAATTTTCTGCTTACAGAAGTATCTGAAACTCCACTGAAGTCAATGAAATGGTGCCCTTTTATGCTAACAATGACTTTGATCCACCGTGCTCAGCCTTGAAATCGTAGATGGAGGGCCAAAGATGAGGTTAGACCAGGAAGGATTTGGCCAGACAACAGGAGAAAACCAAACAAACCTAAGAAGTGTCTGAACTTCACAAGCCGTAATACTAAGCTGTCAACCAAAGGCTAGAATAGACAATCAAAATACCAAAAAAAAAAAGGGTCTTGCAGGAAAACCTAGCTTTGTTAAAACTGTTGTTTGTCTTTATTTATTTGTGGTATATGATAGACTCTTCTTTTTTTAAGACAATTTTACGTATACTTGATAAATTATAGTTTTGTTTGTTATAGTTAGAAATGTTGCTCTCAATGTAAATAGTTGACAAACGATGTAAATAATTTTGTAAGGCTTCAAATGTTTATACGTGGAAACACATGCAGAAATTGGTTGCTGTTTTGCTTCTTTTGCCTCCCCCCTACCTTATTTTTGTATTGTGGTATTTCCTATGCAAATGATGGAGCAAACAGCTGTATAGTTGTAGAATGTTTTGAGAGAGAATGAAATTGTTTATATATAAAGACTTTTTTTTTTTTGCAAAATAAAACAAAGTGCCTAATGTGTGTGTGCGTGCATGCGCTTTCTCTAGCTCCTGACAATGAAAGTTCTGTGTTTTGCAGTAGAAGCTGGAAATCATGACAGTATTAAGCAAAGAATGTCTATTCTGCATAGGAACTGCCTCTTTGGAAAGTACCTGGCGCTTCTGCATCCCGCCCATGAAAATGATACATGTGAAGGGATAAGGGTTGGTGCTTTTCTGCCATCTGAGCTTAAAAGGAAGTGACTGGTTGCCTGAAAACGGTTGCAGTTGTCCATCCACAGTAGCGTTATTGGGAATCAAAGGTACCTGTTGGGTGTATAGAAGTATCCAAATTCCTTCGCACTTTCAAAATGGTTAAAACCTATTCACACTCATCAACAGTGTTGCCCAAAAGAAATTTCTCTCCAAAAAGGTCCTTTCATGCCCTAGAAAGGCAGGAAGGTCCCACAGCAGCACTATGCAATATCAGCACTATGCCTGCCATACCAGTGTCTTTGGTGTTTCTCCCTTGGAAGTGGAAGTACAATACACATGAAAAATTCAAGTGGTTAGCATCTCTGGGGGTAGATCTCTCTTCTTTCCTCCAAGCTTCGAGAGAAAAGGCATACTGGGCTTTTTAAAAGAAATTTATCTTAAAACCAATGAAAGAGTCAGTTTAAATATAGTTTGCTAGCAAATGTTAATATTCAAACCAATCATTTATTCAAAATACCATTATTATCTCATAAGCTCTGGTTCCTAAATCCTTTCTTGAAATTCTATATTCTTTCCTTAATCAAACTTTTTCTTCAGTTTATTTTTCTCTCTTAATTATTGTCTCTCACATGTCATCTTTTATAAAATAGCTAGTATGGCATTAACCAAGTTAGTGAAGACCCAGTTAACTGCTAAGAAATTCTCCCTGAATCTCACCTAACTGCACAACTGCAAAAGTAAGCAGAATAATGTTTTGGGGCATAGGTAGAGCCATTAGAAAAACAGGCATTTCTGCTTGGAGAAGCAGCTGGAAATGAATTGGGCAATTGTCCACATCACTGGGAAAGAGCTTCTAGAGCTTATTTTGCTGAGTACCAGCAGTGATGGGCGCATTGGCATTGGCAAACTCCCCTGTTTGGCTCAGCCCCTGGTCTGAGCTGGACTTCTGGTGGGTTTGGTAGCCCCTGTCTCCTCTTTGCTGAGTTTTGTCTCAAGTCAGTGGATGAAGGCAGCACTCACTCCTCTGTTTCCCAAGCCTTTTCACAATGAAAGCCCGCTGATTGCATGGTTTCAGCCTCCAACGTTGGCTCATACTTCTTTTAGATGTTTCTATTGCTCAGTTACCTGGTTGCATAAACCAGCCTAATGGCTTCATATTAATCTTGAATGAAAGGCCATAATTAGGCCTGTCTACTTCAGCAGCATTTAACCTAATGCAAACAGAATGAGAGAGAACAGACCCATGCACAAGAATGTTACAAAACCTAAAGTAGAGGGGCTTTCTTTTCTGGCAAGCACTACAGCTGCAGAGCACAGTATTAATACAGGAGTTCAACAGCTGCCTGGTCTGGAAATCTGCAAGAAAACACAGTGTTACCATAGCCCCTGCTTGGTTCCTTTACAGCAGTTGGTGCAGAGTCCCCCAAGGTACCAAGGCCACCCTCAAGTTCAACTCTCCAATTACCCTTCAGAACCTGAATTATCATTCCATGCGAAGGGAGAAAATCCAGTGGGCCTACTGGTTTTTCTGGTGGCCACATGAACAACTTGTCCTCCACTTGGCTGGGTGCTGCTGAGTCCCTTCCCGTGGTTTTCGACGTGACTTTACAGCCTGATCATCCACAGAAGTGCCTTTGCCCACTTAGGCACCTTGTTACCTTCATCACCCAGGATCCTTGCACGGATCTTTGTTTTAATCTGGTGGGTAATGAGGCTCTGTCACGCTCTGCAGCTACCACAGTGGTGTTGCTATTGACCTTCATGAAGAGTCCAGATCAACAACTTACTATTAGCCAAAAGAATGTGGTTGATTACTCATGTACTGAATAATGCATCCTGGCACTTTGAGTGTGTTAGGACAGAGGCAATTCATTGGCCACTGTAAGTAGCAGAAGCAGCCCAATGGATTTGCTTTTGTAAAGCAACTGGCATATTTGCTTGTGTTTACTTATTCCTCTTCTCCTGCACTATGAAACATGGGGTTGTTGTTGTCATACAGCAATGTATCCAGCACCCTCACCAATGCTCTTGTTTTGGATTTGGGATTTGAGCAGACTCAGGCCACTGGAGAACCCATGGAGACCGGGCAGAGCCCAGTCAGTCTACAAAAAAGGCCAGTCTGTGGCAAATGGAGAGCACCTTTGTTCACCAGATTCCTTTGATGTTGTTATTGTCCCTTCTAAAAGTAGTTGCTGTTTATATATAAATATGTATATAAATATATGTTGGGCTGTGTGTGTGCCTGTTCATTTGCACATTCATTTCAGTTCTGAATCCTGGCAAATACTTGCTTTTGGTGACCTGTCACAGCAGCAAGCTCCCCAGGTTACCTGAGGACAAAATGGGTGCTCCGTGTCCAGTCCAAATATCCAAGCAGCTGGGGAACTTTAAAACTCCCTGTTATGTGTACTGTATTGAGAAAGAAATGTAATGATGAATTTCTGTTTCCAAGGAGTAGATAATTTATTTTGGAGACTCCTAAATGGGAGGGGGGGAAGGGAGGAGGATATGAGGAGTGGGAAGGGTGGTTATATTACAGAGACAAAGTGAATTCACACTGAAAAAGAAAGTAACTTCAGCTAGGCAGATTAGAAATGTGAGTTATTTCTGCAGGAGGACCTGTTCAGGTGTCAGCAGACAGAAATGAGGTTTCAAGGACAGCTTGTTAAAGCAGGCTTCCTTTCTCCACTTTTCCTTCTCAGCCTCTGCCCTGTTCTGTTTCTGCTGCCCATCAGTCTCGGGCTTAATTCGTATTTCCAATTGTTCCTATAGCTGCAGCTCCTGTTGTTCCTTCCCACCCAGCTGGGCAGCTGTGGTGACGGGCTTGGGGCCAGTGCTGCCCCAGCCCTGCTCTGCCTGCCTGTGGCCCGGTGCTGCGCTGGTGCTGGCTGGGGCACCCTTCTCACCTGCCTCAGCTTTGAATTTGTGGCATAAACAATAACAACGTGGCTTGTTTGTGTTCTGCCAGTCTCCCTGCGCTGTATAACAGGGACAAACTTCCTCCTGTATGTGCAGTGCTTCTGTCAATACACAGGACTTTTACACTTAGTGTGATCTTTATCCCACACAGGGCTCAGGAACCTGATTAGAGCCTTCTCCTTCCCATGAGATCAAGCAAAGATATGTGGTGCCA